TATTTTATTCCACAGAAAAAAAAGTTTCTCAATTTTTTCCAGCCACCTTTACTGGTTGATTATGTAAGAGCAAATTCGTGGCTATTATTTGATATTCTTGAACAGACTGAAGTCATGCTTTTATACGCTTGATCTACATTGAAAATGAGATCCAGATTTCAATTCTTTTCCAGAGTTTAAAACCACTTTCACATGTCAGACACTTTCACATATTAACCACTTTCACATACCAAAGCAGAATATAAAAAGGCAGATGAGCACCTGCTGAGACACCTGCTGAGAACACCTGCATAACACCTGCTGAGAAACCTTGCATGAAAATGCAGAAGTTCTAAGTAGACGCAAGACAAGCTGTCACTGCCTAGTACCAATGACTTTTATTGTAGCTTAGACATGGCCAATCATGTGATTGAGGATATAGAAACAGAAAATGAGGCCTTCAACCAATCAGAAACCTAATTCTATGTTTTAAGCTAATAAATGTTATATATAAATAACGTTTTGATTTATTAGCTTAAGTACCGAGTTTGCAATGAAAAAAAAGTGTTTAATCATGATCTAGACAAATATTTTCTCAAAACTTTGGTTAAGTGTAGCAAGAGGAAATAATTTTTTTTTTTTTTTAAAAAAATTATTTATTTATTATTATTATTAAATTATATATGGAGTGTAAAGTTAAACACAAATAAGTTTTTCTTAAACGAAGTATGTTTTTTTTTCATAAATAAAATTTTATAAAAAGACTGCAGAATCTTTTTCGTTGTTTTGTTTTTAAAATAATCCATATAAGTATTTTATAAAAAATCTTGAAATCACTTTTATATGGTTATTAATAAAAAGTTCATTTTCTTTCTTTGCTTGAAATTACTTTTAAAACGTCTTCAACAAGGAAGTCAAAATTTTCTTCACTCATATGATGTAAAAAATAATAATACGGTGTACCTATTCATAAAAGCTCTTAAGAATCAAAATTTATTACAAATTAGGAATTACTATAATTAAATTTATAAAGAATAATTTGAAAACTTTATTTTTTAACGTGAGGATATAATTGTTTTTTCTAGAAGAATGTAAACATTAATAAACAGTAGGGTACGAGATTTTATAGGGGGTGAGTGGGACAGTTTTTTAAAATTTTAAAAACCTTCCCTTCCATGTATTGTTAACGCAAGAGTATAGTTTTTTTTTTATGCTTTATTAAAAAAAACTCTTAAAAAAAGTTACTAGTAAACTTCTGGATAAAAAATAATAATTTGATGGAAAACTTAAAAAAAATTTTGATGTTAAATTCATTTATAACGCTTTTTAACACATGTCAATCTACTCGAAAGAATGGTTTAAAATATTTTTGTTTAAAAATAATTCTAAAGAGTGATTTAAAAATAAAATACTAAACTTTATTAAACTTTACCAATTTTATAAAACAGTAACTTTTACTATCAAATTAATTTTTAAAAATCTTTTTAACAAGAAGTTTTTTTGATATTAAGTTTTTTTATTTTTTGAAAATTGTATTTTGTGATTTACATTCTCTTAACAAAAACCGATTTAATTAAATTTAAATGCACAATTCTTGATAGACATAGTTACTGCTATTGGAAACCATGTCTTAACGTTAAAAAGTTTTGTTATTTAAAAAACCAAACCATCTATATTTGAAGCAAATATGATTAAACTAAATTGCAAAAACTTTGAGCGCCATTGAATCACTCATTCCTTGTCCTCAAAAGACATATTTGAAAAAATAAAACGAACTTTAAAATGACTACAAACGGCTTATTTTAAGTGCCTTGAGGGTAAGACTAACAGTAATAATTTTTAATTCTTTTTTTATAGGGCATAAATAAATATATGAATTTTTGATTAAAATGGTTTGTTTGTCCCCCTTAAAAATGTTTTTTTTGTCCCCCTTAAAAATATTATAATTTACATTTTAATAATCTTTGGTTTCTTTTATTCTTTACTAAATTGTTTGTCAGTGATTTTGTCATTGTGTTCAACGTTGAGGTGATGAGTCACCTTGTGATATGCATCGTCACTTTATGTCACCCAATAAAGTCCACAATGTTTCAGAAAATCTATAGAAAACGGCCCGCATTTCCAGACTAATTAAACTCTTAAAAGGTTTAAAGTAAAAATAAAAGTAATCTTGTTTTAACTTGGTTTCTTTTAAAGTCGTTAAAATTGCGTTTTAAATTTTAGTAACAAATTCTTTCTTATTATAAATATGTGTTTTTTATATTAAAAAAAACTATCAATCGCTTTTTTTTTTTTGAAAAAAATTGCTTAAGTAATGCGTTTGTTAAAAAAAATTTTAATCAAACGCTAACGTTTGCTTAAATTGCAAAGAAACATGACGTTAGTTTTTCTTTCTGTTTTTTTTTTTTTTTTAACAAACGTTTCCACGTTTACGAGATCGTAAGTGTCGTTTACGACACTTACGATCTCAAACGTTTGCACGTTCACGATCAAACGTTTGCACGTTTACGAGATTGACAAGTGTCATGTTGCAGCATGAAAAAATTCTTTAGACAAGCATTGTTTTACTGCTTATAAAAAAAGTTTTATATTATCTTTTTGTAATAAAATTTTAAGAATTATTATAACAATTAATAATTCTCCAATAAAAGTAAATAATATATTAAAGTAATTAATATATAAAATATAAGGCATTACATAAAATAAAAACTATAATGTAACAATTTGTGTGTAATAATTTTTTTTTTAACAGTTGAATAGTTTTATTTTTTAACAGTTAAATAATTTTATATTTTACCAATATAATTAAAAGTGTAACAATTTTATGTTGAGAGTTCAATCTTATCAAAAACATTTACAGTTTTTTTTTTTTTTTTTTTTTGTAATGGAACAACCATGCCTTTTAAAAAAGTAGTTAATAAAAAATACAATTTGATATAAAATAAAATTTTTAATGACTTTGTGTTTTCAATTTTAGTTATGATAATTATAATATTATAATTATTTAGAAAAATTGTATATAATTGTGTGTGTGTGTGTATATATATATATATATATATATATATATATATATATATATTATATATATATATATATATATATATATATATATATATATATATATATATATATATATATATATATATATATATATATATATATATATATATATATATATATATATATATATATATATATATATATATATAAAGTAGGTTGTATATAAAATTAAAAGAAGGTTTTTTCGGTTTTAATCTTTTCGCATTAAGAACCGCTATCATGCATTTGGAAATCGGTTGCGATGGTTACGAAATCGTATTATAAGCGAAGCGTTTGTTTTCAATTTTTACTTTTTTTTCGAATTTATTAAAAGATTTTTTGAAGTTCGATGATCGAATTTTAAATTTATAAAACTCACTTTTTGATTTATTTTCTTAAAATGCTATCATTTTGTTATGTTTGTTTATTAAAATTCACACTGGTTACAAAACTTTTTAAATTTTGTAAGTATACTTCAGTTTTATAGTAAATTTCATTTAAAAAGTTCATGTTTTGGAACTAAAGTTGAATTGTTTTAAAGCGATACGACGACGACGACCTCTTGGATATAATTAAATATAATGACAACAATTTTTTTTTTCTTTTTGTTTTTTTGTAGGTATATCAAGTGAATTTTTTTAAGCAAAAAAAATGCAAGAAAAGAAGCTAAGAATATTTAAATTTAATATTTTTGATAATAATTTCATTTCATGATATAAGCTGATTCTATTCTAAGACCGTAATTTCAACCGACTTTAATTTTAATCGTTTTATTCGATTTAATAAACATATAAAATATTCCCACAATATAGTTCAATAATTTGTAAATAGACAGTTCGTCCAAGTTTTAATACTAACTGTGACACTATTGCCATTAGTAGCTTTTTTTATATTCTCACTGTAAGTTAAATTTTCTCATTAGAACTTGTGTTCATTTGGTCACTCGTAAAGAGAAATATTAATTTTATAAAATGATAGTGAAAGTAAAACTTTTCTTTAAAATGACTGTTACATGAATTACAAAATTTTAAAACAAAATTTTATTTGTCTATCCAAAAAACATGCATTCGATATAATTTATATAAAAATTTAAATTTAATTGAATAGATTATTGGTTCTTCTCAGCTGCATTAGTTGCTTTTTTTTATATTTTAGTAATATATATTTTGTAGCCTTGTTCAAGAAGCGCTAATTGCATTAAAATTTAATTTATGAGTTGTATAAAAAATGCATTTTTTTATTGATTTTCTTCAAAGTTTCAAATCGACGTCGAAATCGAATCACCAAATATTTGAACCCTCACTCTTTGACGTTTTTCATATTTAATTAATTTGTTTTAAAAAAGATTGTCAAAGGAGATTTTCGATGTAAATTCTAAATTTGAACAAGTTCTGTAGAAATTCGGCTTATAAATACATTGAGTTCTTTACAAATTTGCATATAAGTAAAACAGGTTTTCCTTTTTATCATCTTATATAAATAAAATAATGATATTTATTTAAAATAACAATATGAATAAATAAATTTTTTTTTCTAAGTTAAACATATTTTTAATCTGTTTTATGTTATTTTAAGTAAAAAATGTATTTTATATATGTATATTATTGGTTATTAAAAATTATAAACACAGCATTTATTATAAAATTTATTAATATAAAAATTATGTTCAAATTAATAAAATTAGTATATTTTTTATAAGTTTTATTAAAAGTTATATGGTTTAAAAGTTTTATTAAGTTTTATATATAATTTCATTTATTATTAATGTGTTTATCTTTATTATATTATAATATAAATATAATATATTTATTATTAATAAGAAAATGTATTCAATTTTTTATTTAATTTTAGTTTAATTTTAATATATGTATATAGAAAAATAATAATATTATATGTATAATATCACAATTTTGATTATAATTTTATTTTTTGTTTATTATTTATTTGTTTATTGTTATATTTAACATTTAATTTTTCTTTAGATCGTCTATCTAAAAGTATTAAAGGTTTTAATAATTACAATTTTTTCTACGAATGTTTTTACGAAAGTCAATCGTCATTCACTGATGAAATAAACTCAATTGTTGATGAACTAAATAAACGATGGTTTGATGGTTGGAAGATTTCGATTGACGATAGAAAAACTTCTTACGCAACTTCTTGCGATAATTATTTCGTAAATTATTACATAAAATCTGGAAGAAAGTTAAAGTGGTTATATGTTGATAAAATTTTTAAAAATATTTTAAGTGATGAAGAAAAAAATCTTTTAATTCGATGTTCAACTAATGTTCGCGATGTCACCTTTGATTGTCCAATTTATTTCGAAGGATGGAAACCGAAAGATAAGATTAAAGAGTTGACGATATGCATCTCAGATTATTTAATAACAAAAAAAGATTTTGAAGAAAACTTTCTTCCTTGGATTAATCTTTGTAAAGAATTAGATCTTTCACTTCACGACGACATTGATTTCATTAAAGACATTTGTGAATGGATTCGTTGTTCGAACATCAAGAATTTTGTGATCAAGTACCGTGGAAAAACTTTTTGTAACCTCGATAAATTAACTTTATAACGCGGAAAAATGTTTAATATTTTAAATATATAAAATAAAAACAATAATTATAAAATAATAAATGAAATATTTAATTTATTTTTAAATAATAAAAATAATAAAAAATTAAATTATTTAGTTTATTTTTTTATAAATATATTTGCTTTAAATATACGAAATAATTTATATATATTGGATTTAAATAAAAAAGTTCATTATTATATTATAATATTATTCATATTTATAATTAGTTCTTTTTAAAATAAATTAATTAAAATAGTAATTACATAAACTATTAAATATATAATTGTATTTGTGGTACATAGTTTTTCATAATTATTATTTTTTTAACATTTTTAGTAATAATAATAACATTAAACTATAAATAATAATAATCGATTTTAATCTTTGTTTAAATATATAATTTTTTTTTATAAACTTTTTTTTTATATTTTTATAATTATATCATGAATTTTGATCATTTTGATTATAATATTAATATATTTTTTCTTTTGTTACTATAAATATTAAAATATAATTAATATCAAAAAGTGTTAATTATATAAAATACTAAAATTAGATTAAATATACTTTTACGGTAATTACCTTTTTTCTTAATAAATTGATAATAAATTTTTTTTGACAATATTTTTTCTTTTTTTACTGCAATATTTCTTTATTATATTCAACCTTCGTTATTATATATGATGTTTACGATAAACTCATGGGTTTTCAGGTTTATTGAAAGTTGATGAAATTTAATTTTATATTAAAAAAAAAAAATTATATTCTGCACACAATCACATTTATGCTAATATCAATTATTTTTGAAGTTTAAAGCATTCGCCATTTTTATTTAAGATTTTCGTTGACAACGAAACAAAAAAATTCGAAACTTTGCAGAATTTTTTTTTGGAGTTTTTTTGTTCGAAAGTTAAATTCGTATAACTTTTGCTTAATAGTAAATCAGACATTAAGTTTTATTTCGATTAAACTTTTTTATATATTAATTATTTTAAAAAATTAAATTTTACTTAAAAAATTTTAAAGTTTCTTATATTTATTTATATATATTAAAATGCTAATAGTCATGAAGGCAGAACACATCGGTTTTTTGCAAATGTAAAAATGCCAGAGCATTAAATAAGTTTAGAACAGTTGACAACTTCGTCCAAAGATAATAAACATAATAATAATTTTAAAATTGATATATTTGATAATAACTTTAAGTAATAATTTAAGTATATTAAAATGTCCGTACTTTTGTACTAAAATTGATGCGGATATTATAACTTTTTTTACTGATAGTTCCGCTGGTTTTAGAATTACTTATATTGCTAAACCTAATTTAAATATTAAAGCCAGCAATATCGTCAGTATAAAAAAAGAGCAAAACCGCCTCAATTTTACTGCAGGGGTACTGTCATTTTTCATTACTTAAATAGGACATAAGCTTTTAAAAGTCTTTATTTGTATAAATAGTCACGTCCTATTTCTTCTAGTGCGTTTTTGAAACAATGTTTAACCTGCACCAATCTATAATTAATTTTATAAAGAAGTTCCATATGCCTTTCCGTGGCTGATAATTTTTAACTCAAATAAAACTAACAGTTATCACAACAATCAAGATCTTTCTAAAATTATTAACGGCAATGTACATCTTTGTTTGGCCTTTAAGCAGTGGCTTGGCGACAAAAAATAGGCCTTCCCTTGAAATTTTAATCCTAAATTATTTTTCTCTCCCCTCCCCCTCAAAACAAAAAAAAATTATATATGAAAACAAAAAGCGTTATTTTTAAATACAATTTTGATTTAAGTTAATTGAAACAAGTATGTTACATATTGTATAGCTAAGAATTTCTAATTCTTAGATATACAATAAAAGTAAAAATCTTATTAAATGTATTTGAAAAATTTGGCTTAGGCCCCTAATAAGTCTGGGCCCTCCTACGGCTGCGGGCCCATCGGTACGTTTCTGTCTTTAAGATAAAAAAATTATTTCCGATATTCTTGGAAACCGCAAATCAAATCCATGGCAACATAAGCATCTGATAGGGTTGCATCTCTTTATCGTGCTCGCCACTTTCTTATTTAGGAATCTATTCTTTATCTCAATAAATCTCAATGCCTATTTTCTTTTAGGTAAGGTGCACAAACGCATTGTAAACATAGTCAGACCCGTTCTTGCAGCAAATTTTTGTATTAAATGTAAGTAGTTTTAAAAAATCTATTTAAATCTTTACTCTAAAATTAAATTTTTTTAAATTTCTTTACATAGAGTTTTCTTAATTTAAATTTGGTAGTGATTTTTTTAGACAATTTTTTGTCGTATAAGAATGGTCATGAATTCAATATAAATTTTATAAATAAATATTTACACGAAAAATTATGGTCCAAAAATGGGTAACTATTAAATTTGGATAATCTTCAACCATGAAAGACATTCTTGTTTTTGTTACATACAAAACAAACAAATAATGCTATAAAAAACAAATCAACGCTATATAATATCACAACAAAGAGATATATATCACAACACAGAGTTAAAATATCACAACACAGTTTTATAATATCACAACACAGAGTTATAAAATGATGTGGCACCAGCTTTTAATTGTATTTAGTCGTAAAAAGTATATTTTATATTAAACCCATAAAAGTTTTGTAATCTGTGCTCTTTGAAGGGGTTTTTTGACAATTGTTGATGCGGGGGAGGGGGGAGGTCAATTAAAGTTGACGTCAGCAATTTTTTTTTTTTTTTATGAGTTTTATTGCTTTAATAACGAAAAATTAGGCTGAGCTTGTTGCGTAGTTTCTTTGTATAGGAGGGGGAAGGGGGGATTCAAAATTTGACATAATATTATATTACTTTAAAAGTTTTGTGCAAAGACAAAGTTCAGCAGTTTGTCAAAAGGATGTTTTAGTAAACTGCAAGAAAAACATTCTGTTCAAGTTTCAGCATTTGAACCTCTGTTGAAGTTTTTACATGCACGCAAATAGTCACTCTGGGTTTCAAAAGACTAATTTGTTTTCGCTCAGCTAGATGGAAATCGAGTGACAATAAAAATAAAGCAAATCAGGCTAGGAAACAAGGTAATCTTGACGTAAATTTGACCTTGATGATGAGCAGCAGATAAATCTTTTAACAACACGATCTCCAACAACAACAGAAGTAGCAAACTAAGTCAAGTATAAAAGTGTCCTAATGTTTTTAGAAAAGTTTAAGCAAGTCAAAAAAGTGATAGATATCAAACCGAAAGTTCCAAATACAAGGTTTGGCTTTGTCATACATCTTATATTTGAGTTGTCACTGGCGCGGCATTAAAAAGTGCCGCGCAAGTGACAACTCAACTCAACCTCCAAAACCTCTTAAAGATTTAACATCATCACATAAATAAAATTATTTTTTTATTTTTTTTTAGTTTTGTTATTGGTTGATTTTTAATTAACATAAATGGTTGTATTTTTTAAATTAAGTATTTTTTTGATAACCCATTTATTTGCACATTTCATTCCTCCCAAACAGGAGTGTATATTGAAATATGCAGCCGTAGAATAGAATGAAAAAGGAGGAGTCGAAGTGCAGTGGTTAGTACGCTAGCCTCAGAAATAGAGATCCGTTATTCAACGCCACCTCTAGGCAAGTTATATAGCATCGATAAGGAAAGAAGCGTTCTTTTAAATGCTTTTCTGTGATAAGACCGAAAGATTTATTGGGCACCTAAATAAAAAAAATAATTAAAAAATTTTTTTTTTTTCCAAATAAATCAAGTTTCTTAAAAAACTTTTTTGAAAATAAATTTGATTTTTATATTTAAATACAATTCAAAAGTCTTTACAACTTGAAAAAAAAAAAATTGAAATCTTTTTACCGTGATAAATAAAAACTTATTTGACCCGCTTTTACTCTTTAATCTTTTTTAATCTTTAGAAGGTTTTGGAGGTTGAATTGAGTTGTCACTTGCACGGCACTTTTTAATGCAATAAAACTCAGTGTTTTTATACATTTCTTTTGAATAGATGTATGACAAAAAAAAAAAGCAATTTCAAACTTACTTGGCAAATTGTGTGAGAAATCATGGTAAACTAAAAATAAATCAGGCGCATTTATTAATGTAACTTTAAGTTAATCAGACAGAGAATCTTCTCAGATTAACTTAAAATACCAAAATAACGACGAGATTTATAAGAGGGGGGGGGGGGGGAATGGTGTAAACAACTATTGCCCGACATCTGTTTTTTCTATTAAACTAAACACCTTCAAAAAAAAACAGAGTTGCTGCATGGTTTAAAATCCCCAACCATTCTCTTGCGTTATAACCATATAAATTATTTAGTTTACAATCATTTTAGTAAAAAATAAGTTACTGAAATGAAATCTATGGTAAGTTTCCTTTTCTGAAAAAGTTATGAATAAAATATATGTTCTGCAAGACAAACAATTAGGTTGCTTAAAGAGAAAGCACTACTTTTCTAAGTGTGAACTACAAACAATATTTTAAAATATGTTTAAGGTAAAGAAATAAAATTCATTTTGAAAAAAAATTAAGATTTGTTTAGGAATCAGTCATGTGTAAAAACGTCTTGGTACTCGCCTCAGAAATCTTGTTTATTTAAATAAAAAGACTGCATAAAAAAAGTAAACTTACAGAATCAGTAATAAACTCTCTCCAAAACTATAATGGTTTACCAATTAGAAACAATATTCATAGTTTGTATGCTATAAAGAAAGCAGTTTGGGCAATATCTTTTCACGGCGCGAAACTTGATGATCAAGAATACCAACATAAAATTATATATTGGTGAAAGGGTGAAATCTGTTTTAAGTTACTTTGGAATGTTAGGATCAGTGACTTTTTCAAAACTAGTTTTAAAAGACCAAAAGCGAATTGTAAACAAACGTCGTTAATCAACTTCTGTATGCAAAAAGTGAAGAAAAAAAGATCTTTTCATAAGTAATACTTAGATACTGAAAAAACAAATTCTTATAGCTCTGGTAACTTTTGAGGAGTGTTTATACTATAAATATTCCTTAAAAGCTACCAAAGCTATATCAT